TATTGGGAGGGTTTCATGGACTGTTGATGTGCTGGAGCTGGTGGTCGGCAAGAGGCCGAGGGCACCATTACAGTACATCGTGTCTCCGTTTACCGTGGAGACGAAAAGGAGGAGGTTCGTTGACGGCACGCACTCAAATTTATTCAGGGAGGTAGACCACGCTAAGTGGAAAGCGTTCGAGGCGGAGTGGAAAGCACTTATACCCGGGTAAGTATTGTATTATTCGTTAAGGATTAGTACATTACGTAGATGCTGACACATCTATATTTTTACTTAACAATTTCTTTTCTTATTTTTCAGAGTCAGTCGCAGGATTGCTCATAAGACGATCTCAGACGCTTACAAGTGGTTTCACGACATCACAACTTCGGGGGCTTGGCTCGCCGATGATGTAAGTGAAGTAGTAATAGTTTTATTTATTACGTATACATATTTTTGCGTTTTACATTTATGAAATTAAATAACTCCTTTTTTTAATTTGTGCAGCACATTGACTTCGCCATGGATTTGCTACGAGATCGAGCTGAACGACATCCAAGATCGTTCAACATTCCTAGCCGACTCATATTGAATACTGAGTTCATACGTGTTGTTGATATTGAGTACCAGACGTTGCAAGCTATGGGTAGCGAGTACATGGTGCCTACATACATGATCGAGTGGGTTATAGGGATGTGGCCGAGTGTCGGGGGAAAGTCATGGGAGGGTTGTATGCATCTGTACATTTCGGTGTGCGTCAATAATCACTACATTGTAGTGGAGATTGTATTTGCCGACTCAACTATGTATGCGTATGACCCCGATCATTCATGCCTGACATAAGGTCAGCTCTAGCAAAATCTGGAGTTGGTGTCTGTGATCGTCCCCATGCTGGCTAGACGAGCAAACATTACTGTGCAAGACAGACTAGCCACCATGCGAGACACAACGACAGCGAGACAGCAAATATTGTTAGTATTTATTATTTTATTTTTGTAATTTACAACTTACGTTCTAGTTAGAATATTTTGTAAGTGCTAATACGATATTTTGTAATTGTAGGGTTGATTGCGACATATTCGCTATCAAGTACATAGAATTTTTGAGTGTAGCACAAAAGGTTGACGCAATCAACCAGGCGTGGATACAAAATTGGAAAAATAAATTAGCTTGTGATTTATTTGAATTTAATGGTGATCCGTAGATATTGAGTCTTGTTTCTTTAAAATAATTGTACATATTGTAACGTTTAAACATTGTATATTTCATTCATTCATTCATTTGTAATTAAGAAATAATTGTAAAACATATATTATTTTTTTAATATTTAAAATTTGTTTTTTAGTTTATGTGTTTATTTAAATCTTTTATGACATATTTATAATGTTTGGGTATATTGTGGAGAACACACTGAGTTTTAAAAAAGGATTAACTTCAAATATTACGCAACTAATTAATGAAATATTAAAATAAAAAACTAAATCTAATAATTAACATAAATAATTAACATTAAGAACATGCGTGAATAATTAATATCAATGTTATAAATAATGTTACATAAATTTCAATTATACATTTGTTACGTTGTCATGCAGAGGGATCTGACTTGTACAAAATCTTCTAGTATGTCCTGTTGCACCACACCTGCCGCACTTACGGGCCAGGAAAATTCTCCGATCGATGGTATTCTAGATGTACATGTACGTCCAGGAGTATGTGGGCCGACTGTTGGTGGTAACAAGTTATTTAATGAGAGAATGTGATCAGGAACTTCCCATTCGGTTTCATTCAGTACAGGAAATATTGTTTCGACATATGCTGTTCTCCAAGAACCAGTCGTGTAATAAGTACTGCATAAGATGTGTGGTGGAATTCCTCTATACATAGCTATCGCCACTGCATGTGTACACGAAAAACTCTCCAACTGAAACTGTCTACACGTGCACGTGTTATCATTCAAGTCGACGATGTATCCAAAATTACGTGCACATCTCGCGGAGAAGCGAAACTGATCTAGTGGTTCTGCATATACCTTTCTTGCCACTTCTAAAGTCTTGAAGAGTTTATCTTCCTGAGCCGGGGTTAGCACACTTGTGTAACTTTGTGATTCCTCACGACGATTATGAAATTACTGTTGCAGTTTGTCACGAATGTTTTCAAACATTGCGAGAATTGGTAACTCTCGATCCTTCTTAAATAAGGCATTGACCGACTCCGCATTGTTCGACGTCATCATGTTGTATCGACGTCCTGGAAAATGTGATCGTGCCCAATGTTCGATCCCCATCTCCGTCAGATACTCCCATGCATCATAGGATTTACTTTCGATTTCAACCATAAACTTTTCAAACTCTTGAAAACTGTAAGTCTCTGCAGCTCTCCTAAACAATGTAACGATGCCCTTGCCTCGATACTTGATTTTCAGATTTCCTTATATATCGTACGTACAATAACCATGATGTGCCTCGGGGAAAACTTCGGCGATACTATTAATTATTGACTGCCCTCGGTCAGATACGAATGCAAGGTTCTCAACATCCCCAATTACTTCCCTCAACTTCGTGAAAAATCAACGCATTGCCAAATCACTTTCTCTGTCAACTATGACGAATGCAAGAGGGTAAATTTGGATGTTAGCATCTTGACACGTTGCAATAATCAACTTGTTCTCGTATCTCGCCTTGAGGGTTGTACCATCCATTAGAATTAAGGATCGCATTGCGTTTCGAAATCCTCGAACGCATTGTCCAAGGGCCATAAAGAAATATTTGAAGCGAATTCTCAATAAAAAATGCCGATTCAGTATTAATTCTTCCCATGTTATAGCAAAACCTGACCAATTAAATAAACAATAATCATAATTTAAATAATTAAATAAACAATATTAAAAAAAATGAAAAATTAACAATTGAATTAAATAATTAATTACACATTAGATAAATATTCGATAAATAATTAAATAAACAATTGAAATTAATACCTGGCCAATTTAGCATAACTTTCCTTGGTCGAATCCATCAAGTCCTTCAACGCACATTCTTTGGCCTTCCAAGCCTTTTGATGGCTCATGACCACCCCGTACTCTTGACGAACATCATTAATAATGTCCGAAGGTCTGTAGATTGTTCGTGGGTCCTGAAATTTGTGCATTACTTCCCGACCAATGATTCATGATCGGGCTTGCCTGTGATCATTTCGACGAATACCCACTTCACAAGTATATTCCCGTGCATATTTACAAACAACAAAGAACTCATTCGTGTCCATTTTCGTTGCTCGCAAACGCCAAAGGCAACTAACGTCAACGCAAATAATTGTGTAAATCGACTTGTTTGATTTCTTCACTTTAAACTCAAAATTGTGTTTCAAAGCAATCCGGTGAACAACTTCCTGCAAATCTTTCTTTGTGTCAAACAGTTGCTCGACATACAAATCTTCATCATCGGGGACTATACGCGAACAATTAGAGGACCGTGCACTCAGTCCAGCCTGTGAGCTCCCACTCGACGCATGTCTCAAACGAGATAAAGCAATCAAATTCTCATTTGTAAAGTCATTATCTCTTTCGTTGTCTTGAACTACAGAGCAAATTCTGTGTGTAACAGTGACATCATGGTGAGGAGCAACTATCTCTAGAACTGCTACAACATCATCACGCACTATTTTCACTGTGTCCCAAAATTCATTCACATTACGATCCCCTCCATCGAAATCTACCTGTTCACTCTTGGGGACATTCTTCTTCATCAAAATTACGCAAATAGGAATCGCACGTTTCTGATTCATTTCAATTAAAATCTTTATTTCAGCTTCAGAAGTAATCGTTATAGGTGGAATTGAAATGGATGTATTCTCGCCCATTAGAAATCCCAATTCCATGGCGTACTTAGAGGGATCAACTTTCAACAAGTTCTGTATCTCATTGTACATTTCTGCATATGATGTACTGGATGTTATTATAATTGCAGTACAACCATGTCTTTCACTCGTCCATTTTCACACCCATTGATCATTGTCATTATTTTCAAATTCACCAAAACAACAAATCGGGACAACAGCTGATCCTATATCTACATTACGATAAATCATTTAATAAAAAAATTGTAATTACGAGAATAAAAAAAATAAAAATTACGTGTAATAGCCTGTCCTATCCGAGCCAGCTGTTAACAGTCGGCCCCTAATCTGGACCGGCTGTTAAACATCCAGCCCGGACACAAAAATTCGATTGTTTACATCTGCACAGATGAATTTTTTTCCTCGTTTTTGCTAAAAAAAATAATTTTACATCCATTCAAGACTGTAATATTTCATTTTTCTAAAATTATATGTTGAAATAAAATTTAAATATTCAAATAATGTACTAATTTAACTAAAATGAAATTAAACACACGTATTTATACTTATCAAATTCAAGTGCCGATTGTGAGTAATACTTTTTTGTTGAGCCTTTGATAATTTTTTGAGATTTCAATGTTCAAGCAGATGGAAGAGGAAATTTCTTTTTAACTGTTTTGAAAAATCTGATAAGAAAAGCGATTTCGTTTTGAGATTTAAGTGGGATTGTTTGAATTTATTATTTTTTTTAAAGAGGGTATTATTGTCTTTTGGACAAATGATATGTTTTTGTAATTACAACACATAACAAGAACAAAATTGACATTTNCTCGCAAGGTAAAGGAACAACTAATTTCTTCTTCTTAACTGCTATTTCTTCGTTGCTGCCTTCTTCTTCACTGCTTGGTTTCAATTTAATTTCAATTTGGAGCAGTTCGAATTGTTTATATAAGACAGAAGGGTATAAAGGCCAAATAGAAAATGAAAACTTTTTCTTTTTCTTTTAAATGTAAAAAATGGGTCAAAGGCCAAAAAAAAGTTTGATGAGGGTCAAACGGCCTTTCACAGCCATTACGACATTTTGTTTCCCAAACATTTTATCCGTCCCAATTTTTCCCACACCGGCAAACGTCCCCCTATATTAATGCATGCTTCCTCAATTCTATCGAACAGAGCACGTCTCTTCGTATCAGAAGCTGCCTTACACCACCGCTCTCCCCCGGTTTCCCGGTATTACGGCCAAGCCAAAATTGATTTCCCGTCAAACCCAGATGGAAAAAGAGCCACTCCTCCCTTATATAAACCCCAGAAGGTCTCAACCTTCACCACCACCGGCATTCTCCCTTGTCCCTTTACCTGAAAACAATGAAATCACCATCCCGCCTTTATCCTCCACCCCATCAAAAGAACTGAAAGATAGATTCATTTTTGGATCCCCTTTATTGTCATCTTCCCCTTTGAAAGACTCTTCCTTTTCAACCCTTCTTGATGCATTAACATTAAGCGTGACCTCTCCTAAGCCTACAAAGTCCAATCTGGATGATGAAAGAATGAATCTTGACCCGCAAAAATCCAATCTTGATGTGGGAAACCGGCATTCTTGGTTGATTGATCCTAACTACTCAGTGCCCAAGATTAATCTCCACAGGTGCAAGACTGCACCAGCCATGGCTTTCATCGATGAATTCCATCATTCGCCAGTGTCGAAACCACCCCAGTTTGGAAAAACACCAATTGTAAGACAAGCTGTTGCGCTCTTGATCGTATACTTGAGTCTTGGCGTGGTTATATATTCCATTAATAGGGATGATTTTAAGGGCACTGGGACTCACACTGTGGTTGACGGTTTGTATTTTTGCATTGTCACCATGTGTACAATTGGATATGGTGATATAACTCCTGATAGTACTGCAACCAAGTTATTTTCCATCATGTTTGTTCTTGTGGGATTTGGTTTTATTGATATTTTGCTGTCGGGAATGGTTAGTTATGTGCTTGATTTGCAAGAAAATTATCTTTTGAGGACTATTAAGGGTAGAGGATCACATGACCCTAGGTCTTGTATAATTGACGTGAAGAAGGGGAGAATGAGGATTCGGATGAAGGTGGCATTGGCGTTGGGAGTTGTGGTTCTTTGTATTGGAATTGGAGTTACTGTTTTGCATTTTGTCGAGAGGTTAAATCTGGTGGATTCATTCTACTTGTCAGTCATGTCGGTTACTACTGTTGGATATGGAGACAGGGCATTTTCTTCTTTGCCTGGTCGGATTTTCGCATCGGCTTGGTTGCTTGTATCGACACTTGCCGTAGCTCGGGCATTTCTTTATTTGGCTGAAGCAAGGGTTGACAAACGACATAGGAGAATGACCAAGTGGGTGCTCGGTCAGGATATGACTGTTTCGCAGTTTCTTGCCGCCGACATTGATAATAATGGTTTTGTGAGGTAAATAACTTTGTTCAATCTAATTAACTTTCAAAGAGAATGTTTCTTATATTTACTTCATTTGAGTCATTTAAGCTCTAAAGGATCGCGATACTTCAAATTGTACTGGGTATGCATTCATTTTCCAAATTTTATTTGACATAGTTGATGTGATATGAATTTCATGGCGATATATTTATACTCAACCTCCAAAATTTTAAATATGCTTTTCTGATAAGTTCTTAGATACAATCTAATAATGGATATTGAGTATGCAATAATTTCTGAAATTTTGTTAGAATCAATTCAGTTCATGCTGTATAAGTTATAAATGTAACACCTAATATTTTATATCATTTTGAGGGATAATACGAACTATGAGTAAGGCGTTTTAGATTTGGTAGATCACTTCTAATTGATCAATATGAAAATATGAAGGATTTATCATTAACTAGGCTTGGTAGAGGACATTGAATCGGTGTTGGCAATAGTTTTGGGAGTTTTATGATCTCTATTTCCATTTGAAATATCAGAACATAAATAATTGAAGCAAGCATAATAAAGTATTCTATTTTGATTAAAAAAGGTAATCTAAGCTTTTCTAGTTATTGGTTAAAGACATTACGAAGGTTATATCAAACAAAATAGGGTATATTCCAAGGGTGACAAGTAAGATTGTTTTAATGGAGTTAGAGACAAACATACAGTAGAGATGATGAATCAGACCAAAGAATCCAAAATGCATTTAATAACCCTGGGCTGTGGAACAAAGAATTGACTTTATTAATCCTATAACAAAGGTGGTAAATAATGGTACTAGTGTAGAAGTCCATCTAAATATAAGTGTCAACTTATTGTTTCTATATAATTGATTACTCTTACTAATAATCTGTCATCTCCCTAGATTATCAATTTGTTGAGACTTAACTGTATGTTAATTTGGTCTGTGAAGGCTAATTGGTAACTAAACCACTAGACCCATGCTCATGTTTAACTGTGATATCTCAGTATAGTGAACTACATATGCTTTTTAGTTCTTCAAATTATGTCATTTGTTCAATGGAAGTGCAGCAATTTACCTGTTGGATGAAACTTGGTTGGTTTGTGTGAGAAAATGTACTCCAGGGGAACTTATCAAGTTCTGGTAAATGAAGAGTTAGATCAAGTCAGTACTTGGGATTTGCGATAAATGTTCTGTTCTTGTTCGTTTATCATTAGGTCCGAGTCCTTCACCTTAAAAGGTTCAGAGCCTCAAGTTCAGGTTCATTTATTCTGTTGGATTATCTTTAGATACTGCAAAATTGAATTACTTTATGATGTTTAGATCACATTAAATTTTCTTGACACTTTTACTTTGAAATGGTTCCCTGTCAAATGTGTCTTGAATTTGTTGAAATGCTGAATATAACTTCAAAAGAATTGTATTAAGTATTGCTTTTTTCTATTTTGATTTGGTTTTCCTTCCGCTGGGTATATGGCAGCAAGTCAGAGTACGTCATTTACAAGCTCAAGGAGATGGGTATGGTTCCAGAGAAAGATATCTTACAGATCTGTAAACAATTCGATCGATTGGATACTGGCAACTGTGGAAAGATTACCCTTGCTGATCTTATGGAAAGTCATCACTGATTTTTGACGTGGGTCTTCAAATTTAAGCAAAAAATGACATTATTCATGGTATCAGCTTACTATTTTGTCTCATATTCGGCAATGACGACAAGCAGTTAGAAGCTCCAGTCACGGGCATTTGTAGGAAAGAAACAATGACTTTTTTGACTCAGTTCCCTCCAGAAACTGATACAGAAGCTTGGCAATCTTTGC